TATATTAAGGTGTACAACATGATATTTGGGTATACATGAATGTAATTAAATGATTAGCACAGTCAAGCCAACTGACATAGCCATTTATAGGGCTATTGAGAGGATTAAACGGATTAATGTAAGATCTTTAGAACAGTGCTTGGCAAACAAAAGGTCTCACAAAATTCTGGCATCATCATCATATTGCAAATAACCTAGCTCAACTTTATGTTTTAGAGACTGGACCCTGTTCATCATGTAGATCACAGGATCATGAGAGCATCTCAAAATTTTCCAGTTTGTACAAGTCTCCTGCTGGCCAGTGAGGTTGTTGCATCCTTCACTCATATCACAGTGCTGCAATGACCGTGCCACTCATTCTTCAGATCTAACTCAAATATGTTGTTCAGCAAAACCTTCAAACGTCCAGATTGGTCACCACTTCCAGGCCTGAGTTCCTGGTTCTCCTCTGCACACTGATGTGCTCAGCAGTCATTATCTCCACTGCCAGAACTGTGAGCCACTAAGGTCAGGGACCTGAGCAGTTTCTTCTCCATGATTCCCCCAGACACTGGTTAGAGGCCTATGCCATGGAAGCAACACCCAAGTAGGCTGACTCTGTATGGCACCTGACTTGCTGGACTTTGAAGTTTTTGTTTATATGTACACATATAGCAATAACCCACTGAATCTTATTGCATGACAGGCAATTGCTTTATATGTATGTTAACTCATTTGCATCCTACAAAAGCCTTGCCAGGGAAGTGTGACTTCTCTTACAGATGAAGAAAGTAGGTCCAAAGAGGCTAAATACATGCACAGCCAAAATAGGAACTAGGATTAAACTCAGGCAGTCTGCTTCACCAGCTGTAGTTTTTAAATTTTATTATTTTTATATTATGTGTATTGAGTATATTGCCTACATGTATGTAAATACACCTGTGTTGTGCAGTGCCTGAAGAAGTCAGAAGGCATTGGATTCCCTGGGTTGGATTCCCTGGGACTGGAGTTATGGACAGTTGTTAGCCACCATGTGGGTGCTAGGAATCCTGGGTCCTCTATAAGAGCAGTCAGTGCTCTTAACCGCCAAGCCATCTCTCCAGTTCCCCCCCCCCGCCGCCTTTTTAAGACTCTTTTGTTAGCTGGGTATGATAGTATGTCTTTAATCTCAGTACTGGGGAGGCAGAAGCAGGTGGATCTCTGTGAATTTGAGGCCTGGTCTACACAGCAAGCTCCACGCCAGCTAGTACTACATGGTGAGACCCTATCTCCAAAAAAAAGTATTTTATGTGTTTGTGTGTACCTAAGTGTATGTATGTATACCACATGCACACAGTGCCCACAAAGACCAGAAGAGGGTGTCAGGCCCTGTGGAAGTGTAGTTACAGGTGGTTGTGAGCTGCCACATGGGTGCTGGGAACTGAATCTGTATCCTCTATAAGAGTAGCCAGTGCTATTAATGGCCAAGCCATCTCTCTAGTCCCACTATCTATCTTCTTGTCTCCTAGATCTTACTCTTATCTTTCTACCTGGTCAAGGAGCACTCACTGGGGAGTACCAGGCTTACTTTTCTGAGTTACAGCCCCTGGCACAGGTAATAGGTGCCATAAATATTTTCAGAATTGAATGAGTTAGAGGGATTCAGGAGCCTCATAGAATAGCAGGGTATACTGATGGGGGGTAGAAAAGGAAGAAACTAATATTATTTGAGTACCTACTATGGGCCAGGCCCTAGGCTAAGTCTTTTCAGACTTCACCTCAAGGGCCTTCAAAAAGAAAACAGGCTTTCTGATTTCCTAGGGAGGGGGAACATTAGGATAAAATCAGGGTTTGTGCCCTTCCTGTTCTTTTGGGAAGAACCTGGAACTGACTCAGTGAATTCCATGTTTGGAATGTCTGTCCTTGGTCCCTGAGTACTGAGATTACAGGTGTGTGCTACAATGCTCAGCCACACTTTTCTAAGAATTTGTGTGTGCACTGTATGTATTCTGTATGTATAGGTACAACTGTGTATGTGTGTTTCTGTATGTATAGGTGCATGTGTATTGTTCCATAGATGCTTGTTTTTGAGACTCGGTCTTCACTGAACCTGGAGTTCACTAATTAGGCTAGACTGGCTAACTAGAGCCTAAAGACCCTTCTGTCTCCACCATCCCAGTGCTGAGATTACAAGTGTATGCCACAGTG